CTACTGGATCTTCGGCAGTCTAGCACCGAAATTCCTTATGAAGCATGACACTTTCTTAAGCACATAGCTTGGACAAACGCATCATTTTGCCCGAAGTTCGCGTTGTTTTCAATGTACGGATAGCGGGAACCCTTTAATATGACATCAGTCAACGTTGTGGACGATATGCCCACAACGAAGCAGTAAAACGACAGTTTCCAAGGTAATTTTCTTCGCCCCTTTTTTGGTATTCAGAGAGCCATTTAGGAAAAAGAAATGTAGTTTTGTGGTTCCTGCATGTGCCCCTATATCATGCAAAAACGATTTGAAAAAGCTTGGCACACCAACGACTTGTCCGACTCTGAATCGTTCCTGATATTTTCATTGAGGCCTGTTAGAGACTAATGGTACATATAGTCTGGGAATATGTACCTTAGACTTATTTGTTCCTATCACGATTATGATATATCATATCACTACCATATACATATTCGCCACAAAATAACCGATCTTCTGGCCGTACCCCTTCAGTTGACGTTCAATAACCCAGTTTTCGGGTAACCTTCGCTCAAGCCCTTCTCCCCACTTCCCCGATTTTCGAGTGGAAACCTATTTTGTGCGGTGTGTAGGCATGTAAGATGTATGTAAGATGACTGTTGTTGTTCAGGAGTTCTTTCCGATTGATTAATATTTTTTTCTTTTAGGGTCAGCATGTATAGCATCGATAGCATCAAATATGATTGTTCTAAACTTCACATTAATTTGTATGGGTACAGACTATAACGAGGTTCGTGCAACATATTTCTACAGTGTTTGAAGCATGAACAGCTCCGAATTAAAATTTGAAATTTTAAGACTAATCCGATGACTGCTGATAATCGAGGACCGTACGATTATACTCAATCTGAAAAGTCGTATCTCATGTGGGCGGTAGCAATTGGAACGCTACTCGCCGCGTGGCCGTTTCATTGGTAAGTGACTCAACATGGGGAAGTGGCTTTGCTTGGGAGGCTGAGTCTCTTTGTAGCAGGATACTCGATTTCCATTAGTACTCCCCTCAATTGACCGGTACTCAGTTGATAAAATAAAGGAATGCTGCCTTTAACCCATTCGTGACCGCGCAAGGATTTTCAATCTGCCCGTTCGGACGAGCTTTGTTTGAGACGATCGCAAAGTGGCAGCTACCGGTGGCCATCATTGTCCCTCGCGACCCTTTCTTGAAGTGAGGTGAAGTGGCAAAAATCAACAATTGGTGCTGAAACTTTTTCCATGAGGGCAACCGGTGGATGAAATGGTCCCAAGTGAGCATCTTCGCGTCAGCCACCGGTGGCTGCCATTGTCGCGAATGGGTTAAGGATTTCTTTAGTCTTTACTGTGCAGCGGCCTACGACTTTTCTTTTCCCTTTTGACTTGATCAGCAATTCTTCCAGGCTTTCTGAAAGATATTGTGTTTTTAAGTGATTAGTCATGATGTCGTAATAATCACTCTCATGATATCGTAATAATCAGTCAATGTGCAGTTATTACAAAATTATTGGGATGGGAATACAAGTCCGATGGTAATGCGATGAGCACAGACTGATTAAGCCACCGAAGGGATATCTGGATACCACTTGCTACGTTCCCACATATGATGAGCATTTCGTTTGTAATCATCTGCTCTCGGGCGTCATTCAGTTTCCTTCTCCTCGCTCCTCGTTGCGCTAAGCCGCGCAGCCGCAGAGTCCGTAGAAGTGGCCCTCAGTTTTGACCCCCACAAAATGCAAGGACTACATTTTGATTCTATTGTGTCGAGATGTATTCTCAGAGAAATTCAGTTTCCCTGGAAACTGAAACTCATCTATTGTCTCAGTTCCTGTGTCCTACTGGAACGAACTCCAAATGCCCATCCGCTCATTCCAACGCAGGCTAAGCCCACTCTGAGCGGATTTTTGTTCAGCACAGGTTTTTTGTCCTCTGTAGTATGCTCACTATCTAAGGCTTGATACTGCATGTGAATCTCATGTAAATTCAAACTGCCATGAACAGATCGAGAAACCATTAACCGTTTCTTCAAGGATTGACTGCCTTTGGTGGAACTAGATTTGCACTTTGTGAAAGTGTGAACAAGATCTATTCGTATCCCACGTTTGCGTGATTGATTGCCCAAGACGATTTCTTGGTGGCTACGTAGTTTACGTCATAGCGCTGATAGCGGGGCGTTGTCCAATAGGGGATCACTGATCACACCTTTAAATGAAATACGTCAACCCTAGCCTTTTCCTCCACAGAAGCTAAAAGCACGTTATGCTGCATTCCATCTCCGGTCAATTACGTGATACTACTTGTGTCAGAGGTTTTAGCTAGCTAAGAGAATGGAAATACCACAGACGCAAGCGGTGGCGCCGAGCGAGCAGCATTTCGCCAAATAAGGAGTTGTGATCCCTTCACATTTTTTCGTCAAGGAACATGGAGTGAGCGAGCGCAACGGTCAATAGGAGTTTACGCATGCGATGCAACGAGAAAGGCCAAATAAAGGAACGGTGATCTTCAATGGCGGCAATTATTTGAGGCATGGGTTGGTGCACAGTAGTGTGCGCGAGTAACAAAGAGCAGCGAAGTCATTAAGGGCGGAAGTGGTGTAGTGACAAGTGGCGCGCTTACCACGCGAGCGGTCGGGGATCAAATCCTGGGTCGTGAGTCGCCCGGGCCAACCAAGCCTTCCATCCCTCCGGGGTCGGTTAATTGGTACCAGACTTGTCTGGGAGGATAAAAACACTGACTTGTACATCGGCTGGCCCCCGCAAGTCATTGTATAGGCCACATCGCATTCAAACGCCACTACGAATGTACAAATGGAAGTAGAATGCGTGCCGCATCCCAAAAAGGGATTGATCAACGGCAAATGCTTTATCCTTTTTATCCTTATCCAGTTGCGTGTGAAACATAGCCAAGCCATGGACTACTTTCGTTAGCATAGGATTGCTCGATTAGAAAATTCTAGAAAGTGGGAGAAGTAGTCATCTACTGGCACGAAGTCAGAGCTCTAGGGCAACTTGGGATTAGATCAGCTCTGGCGTCAAGGTGATTTTGAAATTCCTTCAAATCCCCCTTAATGAGAGGGTCTTGAAACGACTCCACCCATAACCAACATACGACCCTTCCTCCTCCCCACCTCGGCCATCACCCTCACCATCATGCCCATTCACATATTGCATTTGAGTGTGGGACCAACTGACACACCATAACTCCACTCACATCACTTTTTCCCTCTCCGACATTGTCGTCGAGTGGGAAGGGAAGGGAATAGAGGGGGAGGGGCGGATTTAGAAGGGGAAGAAATACAGATAGCGAAGTGTGAATGCGGCTCGTCAAAAACGATCTCTCATCTATCTCTCCCCTAACTCCTTTAACTTCGAATACAACAGCGCTCGGACATTTCTAAGAGATGATCAGGCTTGCTCGACCTCAAAGTAACGCCCTCAAAAAAAGCATCTGAATTGAGCTAATCAATCAGGACGACAACCTTTCAGGTAGGCTCATGTAAATAGCATGCACTTCGTAGAGCATAACTAAAAACGTTGAAATACCCACAGGTTTGGTACCCTTCGCAAGAAGAACTCTCCTAAAGTGAGTCACGGGTTTCCAATTAAGGTAAGGTTACATTGTGGCCAAAGATCTATGTGGTCATATTCATTTTTTGCCCGCTACTGTGTGAAAAATAGCGCGTGCACCTAAGTAATCCCACGATCACGGTATTCTTTGCGCTCTTTCTCCATAAGCTAAAGGGGCACACAGAAGTTGTAAACGATAAAGGCTGGCCTCAGAGGCAGGGTCAACCGTCCGTTGGACAAAGTCCAACGCGACGACGAGAGTAATGCCGAGAGTGAACGTACGCACGGAGACACAGACGGCTCGCGGGTGGCGAGAGTGAATGCCGGCGCGGAGAGCGGTGAACATCGGTCCAACGTCGCTCCAATATCGGTCCAACGTAACGGTTGACCCTGCTCAGAGGTATGCTCGTTCGCTGTACAAAGTCCAACGCGACGACGAGAGTAATGCCGAGAGTGAACGTATCCCCTCATGCTTTTCCTCTATTCCAATTCTTAGCAATCAATTGGAACACACTTGGTTTATACAGTGACGTGCTGGCCACATGTTCAAATCATTGTAAACATGTGTTGCATGTAACCAGCTTGACAACAGACCAACTTCAGAGGATGATTCCACAATACGACTGGATTACGTCGGGGTGATGATCTGGTGGGGACGGCAAGACTGTCGTGTTGCGGCATCAGTGATGCAAATGCATTGAAACTCTCCGTTTCAATAGCAAAACACGGAGATGAAACACAGTAAACTAGTAAAATATGAAAAAGGGAATGTGAGTATGTATGGAAACGATGCGTTTCACGAAGATCTCACAATGTAATTATAATAACATATTTTCAGGTTTTATCAAAAATATGGTGCTCGGTCAGTGTTCTTTACGGCTGGCATGATCTCGACCATTTCAACAGCAGTGATGCCAATTACAGCTGCGTACAGTTGGCACGCTTTTCTTGTAGCTCGGTTCTTCCAGGTATGTGATACAGTACAATTCTCAATACATAACGAAGCAACTTTACACTATGGGGATGGTACTCCCGAGTTGACTGCTTCACCCGATTTAACAAATAGTTATCAGCAGGGTGAATAACGGTCGAGGAATTCCTCGACCATCGCTCTCTACTGTGCGAGAGTAGTGCCGAGAGTGAATGTACGCGCGGAGAGCACAGACGGCTCGCGGGTGGCGAGAGTGAATATCCGCGCGCGAGAACGTAAAGGATCAGGCGAAAATCCTCGACGTGCCGTTGAGGAATCCTCAAGCGATATTCACCCTGATGGTATCTACTGAAATCCACGTGCCTTACTTCCAGGAGTTTGAAACTTGACCCTTCTGCAAAATCCTTATTGATGAGGCGGGCTCTTTAATATTGCTTCCTGCGTATAACTGCAGAAATTGACAAAGTTAATGGTTATAGTTCATTGTTTTCTGTATTATTGTCCTGAAAAGGTATATCTTGGGAAGGAGTTTTTTGTTACAGGAAAACATATTTGTTTGCAGGCCTTTTTTCAAAGTTAGACTGCTCCTACCTATAAGACCTAAAAGTAATGTAGGCAT